AGGCAGGGTCGATAGGGAAGTTGCGGTGCCACCCCCTGTCACTGCACAGAGCAGGGCCGATCAGGGGGTTGGGGCGCTGACACCTGTGAAGCACAGAGCAGGGCCCATCAGGGGGGGTGGGGCTCCATACCTTGTCTCACACAGAGCAGGGCCGATCAGGGGGTTGAGGAGCTCCCTGCTGTCACTCACAGAGTAGGGCCAATAGGGGAGTTGGGGCACTGCCCCCTGTCACACACAGAGCAGGGCGGATCAGGGGGTTGAGGAGCTCCCCCCTGTCACTCACAGAGTAGGGCCAATAGGGGAGTTGGGGCACCGCCCCATGTCACACACAGAGCAGGGCGGATCAGGGGGGTGGGGCACTTCCCCCTGTCATGCACAGAGCAGGGCCCATTAGGGGGGTTGGGGCTCCGTACCCTGTCACCCACAGAGCAGGGCCGATAGGGGAGTTGGGGCACTGCCCCCTGTCACACACAGAGCAGGGCGGATCAGGGGGTTGGGGCGCCGCCACTGTCACACTCAGGACAGGGCTGATGGGGAGGTTATGGCTCTACCCCGTCACACACAGAGCAGGGCCCATGGGGGGGGGGAGTTGGGGGCCCCGCACCCTGTCACACACAGAGCAGGGCCCTTGGGGGGGGGTTGGGGCGCCGCCCTCTATCACCCACAGAGCAGGGCGATCAGGGGGTTGGGGCGTTGACCCTGTCACACTCAGGGCAGGGCCGATGGGGAGGTTGTGGCCCCACCCCCTATCACACACAGAGTTGCAGGGCGATCGGGGGGTTGGGGAGCTCCCCCCTATCAGGCACAGAGCAGGGCTGATCAGGGGGTTGTGGCACCTTCCCCTGTCACAAACAGAGCAGGGTGGATAGGGAGGTTGCGGCCCCGGCCCCTGTCACACACAGAGCCGCAGGGCGATCAGGGGGTTTGGGCGCTGCCCCCTGTCACACTGATCCCAGTGCCGGGAGCCCTCGCGGCTCCGCTGATCCCGTTGCTGGGAGGCATATTACCCTTTTACTATGTAGGATAGAGGCCTGGTGCACGGGTGGGGGCCAGCTGGTTTGCCCTGAAGGGTGTCCTGGATCAGGGTGGGGGTCCTCACTGGGGTGCCTGGCCAGTCTGGCTGAGGGGCTGAGGGCCGTTTTCAGGCTGGCGGGTGACTGAAGCTCCCAACCGCTCCTTTTTTTCTTTGTTTTTATTCTGGGCCAGCTTTAGCTCTGAGGCTCGGCTCCAGTCTGAGGCCTCGGCTGCTGAAAGCGGGTTTCTGGCCTTTGTTTACCTTCTGTATTTGAAAAAAATGTTGCGGTCCTGCTGGCTGAAGCCTGGCTGACTAAAGCAGGTTTCTGGGGTTTGGTTTAGCTTCTATATTTGTTACAATGTTTCTTAGAGTTGCAGCTCAGAGGCCAGCAAGGCAGGTGGGGAAGCTTGGCTTCCTCCGTCACTGAAGCAAGCAAGCCTCCCTGTTCGCATCAGCTGCCTGGCTGCCGGCTGCCATCTTGGTTGGCAGTTAATTTGCATATCTCCCTGATTAGCCAATGGGAAGGGTAGCGGAGGTACGGCTAATTACCATGTTTCTCTTTTATTAGATAGGATAATAAAAGCCTTACATGTTGAGTGTCTCATCGTGCAGTTGGCCATTCAACCAATCAAAATTTAATATGCTAATGATATGCTACGGCCGCTCAACCACTTGCTATGACATGCACTGACCAACAGGGTCAGATACTCCAACCGGTACGTTAGCTTGCTGCTCGTGTCCGTCCAAATGGGACTGAGCAAGATGGGCCAGACATGCCCAGGAGCCCTCCTGGGGTCCCTTCCTGGCTGGCCAACATCCCGCATCTCTCCCTGGCCTCGATCATGCAGCGGTGGTGTCCCTTGGCCTGGCCTGTGCTGTCTTGCAATCTGGACAAGGGAACCACACCTCCCCCCCCAGGTGCACGAATTTCATGCACTGAGCCTCTAATAATTTAATATGTGTTAAAATTAAATGGGCAGTGGACTTAAAGACAGAATTCCTCAAATCAAACCCTGGCCCTGCCTTTAATACTTGAATAATCTCCAGCAATTTTTCAAAGTAAATATGATTATTTCAATTAAAAAATAATACATACTCAATGCAGAAAATATGGGAAAAAATAATTAATAACAACTGAAACAAGAAAGAGAAGCACATAACACAAAACAATAATCACAGCTAACATTCTGTAATGATATCTACAAGTTTTTTTAATGAAAAATTTTTTATACCTAGTGGTTATCATGCTAAAAATATTGTCTCTATCTTTATCTTATTAATAATCATCATAATGTAATTTCTCAATATATCATAAAATAATCATTTAAAATTATACCAGAGACTGGCTGTGCCATAATTTTTACAATAAATCCTCTACTGTTAAAATACATGCATATATACTTAGGTTTATTTTTAGTGCAATATTTCATTTTGAAACAATGAAAAAGGTACAAGACAAACCAAAATTTACTAGCAATATTTTTTAAAGCTTAAATCTGTAACAATTTTAAAAATAATTAGAAGGGCTCCATTTACCTATAAACTGCACGGACATACTCAGAATCATCAGTAGTCTGAGCATCAAGATTCTTGCCCATAGCTGTTTCTGCAAAATATGGGTGAGAAGCAACCATTCAATTCATGCACATACCTTGTGTTTATTTTCCAGTGGAAAACACTTCAAAAAAGACATAAATTCTTATATATTTTAGAATTGTTCCTTTCCCCTTTCACTCTTGCACCTTTTGTTTCTCCTACTCCCTATTCCTGCTCCTTCTTCCCTCCGACCTTCCTGGCAGGATCGCTCTGCTTGAAGCCCTGGCAGTGGGTAATGCTTTTCAGGAGCCTAATTTAGCAGAAGGACCACCCCAAAGAAGCCAATATCCTTTCTAACCCCTTCATTTGCCTTCCCAACGAAATGTTATTTTCTATTTGGGCCATTGTATGTTTACACCATAGTTCTAGAAACAAATCCATGAGATTTACCACAAATTATATCTAAGGCACAAAGAGTGATGTAAAAAAAGCAGTTAAATTTTTCTCCATCAACATGTTTTTCAAGCTTATTAACCAGTATGTTGGCTTGTTCATTCATGACATCTAAGAAGTCTTCCAGAATGGTAAAATGGAAAGTGGGTGTTAACATTTTTCTCCTGGAGCGCCATTTGTTTCCAGTACTAGAAATACAAGACATGGTTACAAAGAAGAGAAAAGCAACATCCAAAGCAAATAAAGCTTAGTCAAGACAACAAATTCTTCTTAATCTACAGATTCCCAAATGCTGTGGTCAAAATGTCAAGGGGAGATTCATATACAGTTACAGGATGGGCATATTTTAGATATCCTTCTATATTACTAATATTTAAAAGAGCACTCAACAAAATTGAAAATTTTTAAGAATTTTTCTAAATTTCTAAGTTCTGAGTTTCCAAAAATGAGAAATTTCCCCCCTTTATCCAACCTTAACCCTATGAAGATCAAGGAGCTCCATGAGTCTACTTTGATCTCTAACCTCTTCAAAGTCTCCAAAGATCCCACCGAAGTCCTGCTTTCTCTTTCTCAGTTGATGGGGTCCTGTTGCTGGATGACAGCTCAAGGACTGAGGTTACTGTGCTCAGCTTACTTCTCTGAGGATGACTGCCTGTTTCATTGAATTTTCAAGATTTCCCTGCTCAAAACTCCCCTGTGTCGTACTCCATTTCTACATTGGGACTTTCTAACTCTCCTTGGAACACTGGTGATCATCATTATTGAATACCATGGCTGGAGATTACTCTACACCCTGGGTTCCTGTCTCTCACAGGCCCATTACCACCCAACCTTTCAGCTTCTCCCTACTACCCGACAGCACATTCTTGCTACAGGAAAACTACCCCATGTCAATGCCTGACATAAGTTACGCACAAGACAGCTTTACCAATTTACACTGACTTACCTTGTAAGCAGTCCTAGGCCAAGCCATGGTTCTACAAACCTGTACAGATAAGATTTGTCAATTTGCTTTGAGCTACTCAAAATTACCTTAGAAAGAGAGAAAAGAAAAATGTGAAATACAGATATGAAAGCAACCTTAATTATGAGAATACTGGGCTAGACACAACTGCTTTCTAAAGTAACATTTCATAACAATTACTTCTTTGTGGTTCATTTTCATTACTATGACTCAAAGAAATGCAATTGGAGTTTGGAGCATAAAACTGTCTCTCACTCTTGGAC